AAAAGAGTTCAATAGCCAAAATACAAAGCTGACTAGAGAAGGTTAGTTTAGTTTTTGGATAGTAAAAACGTTCATAGACAGACAAGATTGTACTACGGATGAAGCCAATTGAAGAAAAAGAAGTTACGAGTGCAATTACATAAGGGTATTTAGACACCGGAGGACAGAGGAGCAGGTGGTGGAAATATGGATGGATACACAATACAAATTAATTAGTTGATTGATTTGTCTAGTGTTAACATTGTTCGTTTCAACAGCTAATATGGAGAGCACCTTTTCAACAATAAAACATATGAAAAATGATTTGCGCAACAAAATGAGCGATGAATTTCTCGTCGATTGGTTAACTATTTTATTTGAAAAAAAGAGTAGTATGCGATTAGTATGGATGTAGACTCATTTATTGATGATTTCACTATATTAAAAGATCGACGTGTACAATTGATATTGCAAAAAAAATTATAATTTTTTGCGGTATCTAATTTTCTAATGAAATGCGGCCTAGTGATATGCTATGTCTTGGATCCGCCGCTGTTCAATATGGACGAACTAGTATTCATATTCAACCCAGCTAGTATTCCATGTTTGCTAAATGATATTCAACATGAAAACAAGTACTAAAGTATACATGAGAGCACGTACTAGTATCCAGAGAGCACTGGCCAGTATACAACTCATAGAATTAGTATTCAGTCAATCAATTATCAACTAATATCCACAATCAGATCATGTATTATTCAAAGTTTGCTACCTGATATCCACCATGTTTTGCATTCATGAACTAAAATGCAGACAACACAGAATAGTATCCATACATCACATGATTAGTATTCAGTCAATCAATTCCGAACTAACATTCATGTTCAAACCAACTAGTATGCAAGGTTTGTTAAATGATATCTAGCATGAAACAGTACATACACGAACTGATATTCATATAACACAGAAGAATATTCATACTGCATAGAACTAGTATTCATAAGAAAAAAACACATTTACGAACTGGTATCCATGACATTAAATAGCAATGATCTACAAAAAAAAAAAAAAAATAGAAAGCCACCGAAAATACCTAGAAAGGCAAGAAACCCAAAAAACACTAAGGGGTCATTTGGATGGATCAATATAGAAATGAGTCAATTTGATCAATTGTCTCGTTTTATAAACGAGGCAATTAAAACGAGTCCATCCGAATTACCTGCCCTCACCCCCAGGTAATTGAAATTGACTCAAGGATCAATTCAAAATACCTCAGGCGGATCATTGATCCATCCAAATTTTTTTACTGGCAAACGAGACAATTGTGTCAAATTGATCCGTTACAATTCCTCATCCAAACGACCCCTAAAAAACGCAAAGCAAAACAACCCAGAAAGACAAGAAATCCAAAAAAATAGAACAATCATTGGAGAGGAAAAGCCTACCACAAAGAACAAATCCCGCAACATCGTATTTTCATTAGAGGCACTCCAAGGTCTAGTGATCCAAAAATGAGCAATACCAAATTATATCTAAATTCCTTGGGAGAAAGTAGAGACAAGTTTTCAAAATAAAAGAGAGGATTTCTCAACACATATGGATACTAGTATTTTCATTTTGGATACTAGTCTTTTACAACCTTTGAGCTTCAACCCTTGAATCTCAACTGCGCTTTATTCTGGCTTTGTGAGTATATACTAGCCAAAAAACTTGTTAGCTAATTAACTTTTTCCAACTTTTGTAGCCGATGCTAACTCCCTAGTTTTTATTTATTTATTTGTGCACAACATATTGAATAGCTTCTGACTATTTCCAATTTCAAAGTCTGGCTTTGCCTCTTTATTAAGTATGTTAATGTGAGAATATGTAAGATTAAATCCCCCATTAATATATGGTAGACTTTTGTGTAATTTTCTCCATTTCAAATTTTCTGTAACGAGAGTGAAAGTAGGAAGGACATTTTTGTCTTTACAATTATTTATTTATTTCAAATAAAAAATCTCAATATCAAGATTTGAACCCAGGTCTCTTCAAACACGGACAACAATCATAACAAACTACACTAAACGAATTTGTTGTTTCTATTTGATACAAAACATACACTAAACTCTAGAAAGTTAATGACTTTTACATCATGATCAACAAGCCCACTAAGTCTACCATATTTATTTTTATGGTGCTTAATACTTCAATTTCCATAGTAGAGTTTCATGTAATTTTATCCATTTTAAAATTCATGCTCTTTAGAGCCTGGAATAAAATATATCCAACAAAGACATTCAAATTCATGTATTATGCCCCATTTTAAACCACACCAGCCATAGGTTTAAGACACCACAATGATTTTGCAATGATGTTTCATAATCTAAAATACTACTGTTGATTGAAAATTTAATAACTTATATATATTTATGGCAAAGGCTAGCATGCGTCTGACATATTATTTATTTCAAATAAAAAATATCAATATTAAGATTTGAACCCAGATCTCTCCAAACACGGACAACAATCATAACCAACTACACTAAACGAATTTGTTGTTTCTATTTGATACAAAACATACACTAAACTCTGGAAAGTTAATGACTTTTACATCATGGTCAACAAGCCCACTAAGTCTATCATATTTATTTTTATGGTGCTTAATACTTCAATTTCCATAGTAGAGTTTCATGTAATTTTATCCATTTTAAAATTCATGCTCTCCTTAATTTTTGCTTAGGTAAATTTGTAATTGGCTAACATGGAAGAAACTATTTCTTTTACTACGTGTTGCATCATTGTATTTTTCAATTTAAAATTAAATGTTGTGCTTTTTTATCTTTGTTCTTATCTCTTTATAACTTCCTCCAAAAGTCCCTCCATCGTGCAATAATTTGGCCATTTCACTTCCCAGTACAAGAACGCATTTGAAAATTAATCTTCCGATTTCTCTTGGCACGACAGTTTTATTTTTGGGATTTAAACTAGGCAAATAGAAAATTTCAAATCCGATATCAATCCATGTCGAATAGAATGGAGTTCAATCAAGTAGTTATGAATTTAAACTTGGAGTATAAGAGTTGGAATTGAGTTTGAGAATGGAAGTGGTGGTGGTGGGGGGGGGGGGGAAGAAATTGTGTTTGAATTTGGTAGCAGGTAAAGTTCCACTGCAACAGGTGAAGGCAGAGAAGAGGGAGTTGGAGAGGGTAGTGAATGAATTGAGGTGGGTGTTGAAAGACATGGAAGAAAAACTGGAGCAGTTAAAGAGAGAGAAGTGAGAGATGATGAGGATAATAATGAAATTGGAGAGGTTATGGAAGGACATGGAAGTGGACTAAAGCAGGTGAAGGCAGTCAATGGGGAGATGAACATATTGATGGAATTGGAGATGAGTGTTAGTTTTAGCGAACTTATTACAAGTGCCCCGAGGAAATGATGTTGTTTGGTTGAAACATATGCCTCTTGAGATTAAAGATAGTGTGGATAAAAATTTGGTCGTTCAACGGAGAGTGGTGGCTATTGGCTCTTTAGGTTTATGGTTTTTGCAGCTACCACAACCTATTTATATGTTAAACGAGAAATCATTGATTTACTGAATTAGGTCGATTCTTTATTCAACCTATTGAAATTTATAGAAAAGAAGTGTCTAATTTTATGTCTTATGACTTTGATCAAGTCTATTAGTATATCGGAGATAACCCTAATTTTGTCGTTTGCTCTCAAGTTTTGATGGTTCCCTCTTAGTTTAGTTTGTAGTATATAGTTGACTTGAACCAACAACTCTCAATTTCTTTTTTATTAGTGGCATGTTGTTCCTAAAAGAAGAGCATTGAAGCCTTTATGTTGGATTGTGAGGTTTTAGATTCAGTTTTAAACTATATATGGGTCGTGTGGTAATTCCAGTGAGCTTTTATATTCTATCTTTCTTGACAATTAACTAACCAATATAAAATTATCATTATGAAAATGAAAATGAGTTAGCAATGATACATTTTTAAATTTTATATTCTTAAAAGATGATGGTATTTCTTCGAGGGTTCAACCTATATATTATTTCTTTATGTATCATCTAATTCGAAAGATTATAAAAAAAATTAAACAGGTTGATAGACTTAAACTTAACATAAAATTATAAATAATCAAATATGAACATTTCGACCAACAGGCCGAGTTATAAGCTAGTGTATATAAGAGTTATTTGTAGAGATAAGCTACCAAAGTACGAGGGAACTTGGTCTTTTGTTCTTCATCCATGTTTTGAGAGTAATACGCTGAACACACAATAATTGTTTCATTTTTTCTCTTATTCTTTCTTTGCTAAACAAGAGAGGCAAAATAGTTCGTTATATTCATTTGAAAATTTCATCAATTTTCCACAATTGATAAAGTTATTCTCAATTTCACAGAATTCAAAATTTAAAATAAAAATGAATTTTTTATATTCCAAATATAAATTAAAAAATTTGTGAGATTCATATATGTCAAACGGTATGTAAGGGATTGATTCCGCCCAAATCAGAATTCATGGGTAATTACCAGCGGCGGATCCAGGGGGCCGCCCCCGGGCCACGGTCAGCCCTCCTCTAGATCCACAGCTCGTAAAGTACGTGTAAATTTTGGATTTTAGGTATTTTTTCGGTGTGTTTTTGGATTTTGTTGTGTTACGGCCCAGCCCTCTCCACCTCTTTTCAAATACGGCCCAGTGCTCTACCCTATCCTGGATCCGCCGCTGGTAATTATCCCAAATATAAAAGTTTGTTTTTAGATAAGGGTGGTAAGGCTTTTTCATCATAGGATGCTATCCAAATTATTCGAACCTGACATCTTTAAATTCAAGACTAATAATAGTATCACTGGACTAAGTCCACTTATTGCAATTCTGGTTCATAAAACTTTTTCCTTTTTTACTATTACATAGACTTAATTACACGCGGATCTTTTGTTATTATAACTCCTACTTGAAAATGCGAAGAGCTCTCTCCTCTCTCCTCGTATTTTCTTGGGCGGGCGCTCTCCGGCCTCTATTCGCCCTCTGTCAAATGGCCGGCCAAATTATCACCGTCTCTTTCAGCAGGATGCTTGCAACATCCCTAGCTAATCAGGATATGAGGAATCAGCGCTGGAGGAAAAGAAAGGTTTCCCGACAGGAGGCGCTTCCCCTGATAGCAGTCGAAGATAGGAAGCGAAGTAGCGGTTCCGAGGAGAAGAAGCGAAGCAGTGGCTGCCAGAACAGTCTCCGCCGTTGCTGCCGTCAAGGTTTGGGAATCCATAAACGCAAGATTGCGTCGCCCTCGAGGATGGGATTGGATTGCGATTACCCCCAAAGTAAACGGCAACGATGCACAAAAATCACGATGTGGCGATTCCATCTTCCGTTGTCTACCGATTTAAAAAGTGATGAAGGAGATGGTCCTAATCCCCTGTCTATCCCTCCTGCGAAACCAGCAGAAGAGGAAAATTTCCTTGGCGCATCGCGGAAACAAGGTCTTAGACCCCGAGATGGGGCAAGGTCTCCGGCGAAGCTTGGCGAGAAAAAAGTGACCGGAAAATCCCGCCTACTCCGGCCGGCGACGTTCCCTCCTGCGAAACCAGCAGAAGAGGAAAATTTCCTTGGCACCTCGCGGAAACAAGGTCTTGGACCCCGAGATGGGGCAAGGTCTCCGGCGAAGCTTGGGAGATAAAAGTGAGCGGAAATTCCCTCATACTCCGGCCGACGACGTTCTGTTGTCCGAGGCCGTTGAGGCGTTTTTTGAAAAATCGTCCCTTTCCCAACAAACTGAATCTCGGCAGGATTTCCCTATCCCGGGGTTTGCGCGATGGGATTATGGATCTTCCAATCCTACCCGCTGTGCAACGGTTTGGAGAATTGGATAAGTTCTATCCCAAATGGACTAGAGTCCCAAGTGTAGTGAAACAATTACCTTTGGTTGGTTCTGCCGAAAATTTAAATTGTGCCTGCTGCCCAGCTTCTCTCATTCATCACCGAGATATTCAACTGGACAGACTCAGCAGGGCATCCAACCAAAGAAAACAAAAGCTCTACTCTGGTACGTTAGAGCAATCCACCTAGGAATTATTTTTTGTTCTTTGGGAGCAACGAAGTCCTGTTCGCAGGATCTCTATCGTGGTCTCCTGTTTCCCTTGGTCCTTAATTGGGCACTTTGAAGCCGAGTCCTTGAAGCTTATTTGTGGTAACGTGATTGTTTCACAGGATCGCAGAATGACTAGCTTCACCAATGACCAAGTTGTCCACTTCTCCCTTGATGAGGTCCAGTCGGCCAGGATCCGGAATTCAAGGACGCTCATTGGCCGCCTGTTCACTGAAAGCAGAACCACTGCTGCCGAACTTCGCGATGCCATTAACAAGCCGTGGCAAGGGCAAGGCCGCATCAAGGTGCGACTGGTTTCTCATGGACTATTTGAATTCGTGCTACCTAATGAAGCGGCCAAACAATGGGTGCGCAAGCAATCGCCTTGGGTTATTGCCGACAAAATTTTACACCTATGACCTTGGGTTCGCACCATCAATCAACGTACCTTCGACGAGCTTGTTGTTGCTCCTTTCAAGGTCCAGATGTGGGAAATCCAAGAGGACTGCTGCACTCAGAGGTTTGGGCGGACAATGGCCACTGCCACATTGGGTCGAGTGTTGGAGGCGGGAGTTTACTCATGCACTGAGTCGGGGCGCAGATTTATAAAGATCAAAGCCATGATAGATTTCTCCAAACCTCTTTGATCTCAAGTGATGGCATCCAATGAAGAGACAGGGGATTTCTGGATCAGGCTGAAGTACGAGCACCTACCCACCTTCTGTTATAAGTGTGGACGTGTAGGGCACTCCCGCCAGACCTGCTCTTTCGATCCTCCCACAAGACAAGAGCGCTTTGGTCATCACATGTCGACCAAGAAGCTGGGAAGGAGGGTTTTTGAGGAAGATGAAGGAGGGACAGTGATGACTCGGTATTTGCACATGTTTTCCCCTTTGTTTCTTGATTGTTTGAGCTTGAATTATTGCGTCTTTGGCCTATTTTATGCTAGGTTGTATTCCTTTGTCCCATTTCAGGTCCTAGCACATAAAGTGAAGCATAGGCGCAAGTTTCAAGTCAATCAGAGATCAATTGACGATTCGAGAGAAGAAACTCGGGCATGACCTGAAGAAGAATGGATTTATACCTCACCTTATGGACAAAGAATCATGCAAGCTTGTTATGAAACGAAAGAGGACGAGACTACGAGCGTCTGGGATCAAACGGCGATTGATTCGGAGTCCGGACGAGGGAGAAACGAAGCATTAAACAGAGGCTGAGCAAGCTGCACGGGCAGACCAGGGAGGCTGCACGGCCGTGCATGTGAGCAATATGGTCGTGCGCCTTATGCCGAGGACACGCACGGGCAACCCCTGAAGCTCGCACGGTCGTGCACCCTGCCCGTGCGAGAGGGCTGAAGTTCGACTAAATGACACGCTGCGTTTTGAGTTGCACGGCCAGAATGGTGATATGCACGGCCGTGCACCCTGGCCGTGCGAGTCGGGATTTCCTAGTTTTAAGCCAAATTCCGAACCAAAGAAGGGGGATTCGAGTTTTTGAGAGAGAGATCAGTTCCTAGAGAGAGAAAGTGACGAGCAAGAGTTCCCAAGTGCCCTAGATTGATCTTCAACACCATTGGAGGCCAGCTTGAGCTTGGAGAAGTGCCAATCAACGTCCAGAAGCAGGAATCCATCCTTCGCAGTATGAATTCCGTGTCTGATTCTGCTTTTGCTTTCTTCTCTATGGAGTAGTTCTCCCATTCATCTGGGAATGGAGAACCCTAGATTTGTATGTTAGGCTTTGATTGTATGAACCCAAGTACTGATTCTGTGATTGATTATATTCGATTGAGGTTTTAATGATTGAATGACTTGAATCCTGATCAAATTCCTGTTGTTTCTGCTTTAACCTAGAATGAGAATATCTGCCTAGGTTAATAGAGTATCCTTGATTGAAGGTAGGGAGTTGGTGACTTTAGTCGAGGAACCAACTCACTATTCTGTACCGGATTTACTCCGGTAGTGGAGGTTTTGTTCTTAGGGCCTCAATCTGTCGACTCCGATGGAGGTTAGTCGCCCGCTAGAGAGTCAGATTGAGAGGGTCTGAAGACCTTTAGTCGAGACTTCAGGCTGTTTAAGAACCTTCCGCAGTATAACTATCATAGAAACTGAACTTGGTAATTACAATCCGGCTTAACTGCAGTCTAGGGGGAACCATATCCGGGTGACCTCTCTTAACCTGAATACAACCAGTTTACTTGCTTTGTTTGTTTGGTAGTTTAGACTTGCACTCCAGTTTTATTGCTAGATAACAAGAACTCACTGAGTAGTCAGCAAATCTAGGACCCGGGTTGACATATAAACCTAAACCCGCTATACTACGCTTTAGGAAGTGGTTTCACTTGGCCAAATCCTAGGGTGACAGTAGAGTCGAGTCAGACAGCCTTTCAAGGCAGACCCAAATCCGTTTGGATTAACACTGCTGCCCAAGAACGGCGGGAGCCACGGGTGCAAAATCCCTCGGCTGGTCTGACCAGGCGGGACCCTGTGCTGAGCTCGAGACCAGCGATTGTTGAAAGTCCGTTGTTGATGGGTTCTTCAACCCAGCCCTTCTTGATGACGGAACCGCGGAAGCAACAGGAAAGGAGCCCGCCCCCAATCCAGATTACGACAGGCCCAAAATTGCTTATAGGGAGGCTGGGCCGGCGTGGTAAGCAGAAGAAAGCCAATGGCGACTCTCGTATTGCGCGACCGACAAGGGAGGTTGAGGGGAATGTGGCTCGCCGACGCCGCCTGCTACTGGAAGAGGAGTCGGAAGATGATTTCATCGTACAAAAAATCCCCAATCCAGTGCCGACATGCCCATTGAATTGCGCCATTCAGGCTGCTAAGGCTGCGGTGACAGCCAACGTGACGAGCGGTACTTCTGTTCCTGTGCCGAACTCTACTCCCAGGAAGAAGAAAGGGAAGACTTTGCTGGGGGTTGGCTCACCTAAGAAGTTCGAACTGAAGGCTCAGCAGCAGCGTAAACCGCGGCAGCAGACGGATAAGCCCGCCAGCTCCAAAAGGGCAGGGGCTGCTCGTCCTCATAAACCAGAAAAACTGGGCGAGGGGTCGGCAGCGGTCACGCTGTCTCAGGGGGAGATTTTATGCCCCCAGGCAGCTGATGTATCTAATGAGGGACTGGAGTCGGCGGATTCTCTCTCAGATTCGGAGGAGCAACCCTTCGAGATCCGCCGCCGAGCTCCGCGGGAGAAGGGACAGGCTGAGAGGCTGGCTCAATCGTCCCATGTGCGGCAGGCTGTCAAGGCCTTCGAGGCTGGGCTGTCGCTGAGCGAGCCACCCATTGCTCAAAAGGTGCTGTCCCCTCGAATGATGGCAGAGACGGACACGGGTAAGGAGGTTTTCAATGGTGGAGACCAGCGGTATAGTGATTTCAACGAATATGGCTCCAATTTTTGTGAGCAGGGGGATGAGGGCAAGAAACGTTGGATTGATGAAGTGGAGGGAGGCATTGCTGATCTCCCATCCCCGAAGAAATTATTTGTGGAGGATAAGAGTGACCTGGAAACGGTGGAGGCAGCCAACCGCGATTGGGCCCACCCGGATAAATGAGGCTTCTAGCCTGGAATGTGAGAGGAATTGGACCATCCCTCACATTCCAAACTGCTTTTGGTTTAATTCGTTCTAATAAACCGGATCTCGTGTTTTTTTCTGAAACACGATCGAGCCGGACAGTTGTGTCCCGACGTATGCGCAGCTTAGGCTTTGAGAATTCTCGTTGTTTTTTTGTTGATGCGTTTGAAGCATCTGGTGGGTTAGTTTTAGCTTGGTCCCCCGAAGTTGACGCTTCGGTGTTTTTTAGTTCCGACTTTTGTATCTGCACTCAAATAAATGAAACTTCCTTTTCTTATGTGGTTGTTTCTGTTTACGTTAGCTGTAATTTAGCAATCAGAGCTACTTAGTTGGCTCAGCTGCAGCAAATCTTTGCTTCTATACAGCTTCCTTATGTGGTGATAGGTGATTTTAACACTACTCTTCGTGAGGGTGAGAAAGATGGAGGGAATGCTTGGAATATGGCCCACTCTATTAGCCTAAGGGATTTCGTTCAGGACCTTGGTCTTCACGATCCGGGGTACCATGGGGACCCTTTCACTTGGACCAATAGAAGGATGGGTGTGGCCTGTATTCGTGAGAGGCTGGATCGAGCTTTATGCTCCCAAGGCTAGATTGATCTCTTTCCGGAGACCTTGGTGAAGCACTTCACAGATCAGGGATCGGATCATCGGGCTCTCCTCCTCTCGGACAAACCCTATTCCCGCAATGCTAGACCCTTGTTCCGATTTGATGCTCGCTGGGCGGAAAATCCTGAGGTCCGGGCCATGGTTAGTTATGTTTGGAGGGAAGAAATTGCTGGTACTCCGATGTTTCAGTTATGGGAACGCTTGAAGAAGCTTCGCCACTTACTTTACGATTGGAGTAGGGCTGGTACCACGAACTCCCTACGTAATATCAAGACTCTCCAGGCTGAAATCGAACAGGTGAAATTAGTTCACCCCATTGATTGGGATGCAATCTGCGGCCTGGAAGTGGAACTAAGTAGGCAGTGGGAAGCGGAGGAGATATACTGGCAGCAGAAGCCCGGAGTCCATTGGTTAAAAAGGGGTGACAAGAACACTTCTTATTTCCATACGGTCACCAGGGCTAGGCGGAAACGGAACTTTGTGGCAGGCCTCCGGGATGATAACGGGGAATGGATCACTAATGAAGCTCAAAAGGCAGGAATTGCTTGTAGCTTCTATAGTACTCTTTTTACCTCAGAAACCCAGATAAGAAACATACGAGAGAGGGTTGAGGAGTTGCCCATAGCCCAGAACATTACCCCAGAAATGAATGCCAATCTGACGGCGGAAGTCCTTCCTTGGGAAGTAAGGAAAACTGTCTTCTCAATGGGCTCGAAACAAGCACTTGGGTCGGACGGGTTCACTGGAAAGTTTTTCAAAACCTTCTGGGACATTGTTGGCGATTCCGTGGTAGAGGCGGTTTGCTCGTTTTTTAGAAAAAGCAGAATGCTCCGCAATTTTAATCATACATGGTTGACCTTGATTCCCAAAGTGGATAACGTGGAAACTATGAGGCAACTTCGTCCAATCAGCCTTTGTCAGTTTGTCTATAAAATTATTACGAAGCTTATGGCTGAGCGTCTGGCTGGGCTTTTGCCTCATGTTGTCTCGAGAGGACAAAATGCTTTTATTCGCGAGCGCCAGATAGTAGAGAATATTCTCCTGGGACATGAGTTAATGCACTATCTTAAGATCAAAAGGACAGGTAAGAAAGGGTACATGGCTCTGAAGGTTGATATGGAAAAGGCCTATGATAGAGTCGAATGGCCCTTTCTCCTCGCTGTATTGGAAAAGATGGGCTTCAACTCTACCTGGAGGGGTTGGATTCATGAATGACTAAGAACAACTTCGTTCTCGGTGCTAATGAATGGCACTCCGTCAGGATACTTCTATCCTTCTAGGGGGCTCCGTCAGGGTGATCCTCTGTCACCTCTCTTGTTTGTGCTATGCACTGAGGGCTTTGCGGCTCTCCTACATAAAGCAATTGTTGAACAAAAACTCCAGGGAGTTAAAGTGGCTCCCCGGGCCCCTCGTATCTCGCACCTCTTCTTTGCGGATGATTCCTATTTATTTCTGAGGGGGTCCCTCCAGGAATGCGAGAACCTGATTGAGGTGTTGAACGAGTATGAGGAGCTCAGTGGGCAGAGGGTTAACTTGGATAAATCTGTTGTTTGCTTTAGCAGAAATATTGCGCTGTCTGATCAAGAGTTCTTGGCCCAAATCCTTGGGGTTGGGGCAGTAGGGGTCCATGATAAATATCTGGGACTGCCAACCCTCATTTCTCGCTCTAAGATGGCTACTTTTCGCTACCTGGAGGAAAAGCTTCTAGAGAGGCTACAGGGGTGGAAACAGAGGACTTTGTCTTGGGCAGCTAAAGAGGTTTTGATAAAGTCTATCGCTTTAGCTTTACCGTTGCATGTCATGTCCTGTTTCAAGCTCCCCCTGTCCCTGTGCAGGCTTCTCGACAAGCATGTAGCTAGGTTTTGGTGGGGTGTTGAGGAGGACCAGTCCAAAATCCGTTGGGTATCGTGGCATAATATGTGTAAAAGCAAGCATGATGGTGGAATGGGTTTTCGTCGCTTTGAGCATTTTAATCAGGCTCTGTTGGCCAAGATTGGGTGGAGAATCATTACGGAACCTCAATCGCTTTTAGCGCAGGTCTATCGAGGTAAGTATTTCCCTACGGGAACCTTCCTCTCTGCTCAAGCGGGGTCCCGCCCATCTTGGGGATGGCAAAGTATTTGCATGGTAGGCAGTTACTTGAGAAGGGTATTAGATGGCAGGTTGGGATGGTCAGACTGCCTCTCTCTTGTCGTCTAATTGGATTCCTCTCTTACATCCGACTCCTCCGCAATTTAACCCCGTGGTTGTGCCAAAGGGGGTGACCCACTGGTTGCTGAGGTAATTATTCCGGGGGAAGGGCGGTGGTGTGATTCTAAGCTTATCCAGTGGTTTGATCCAAAGATGTGTCGTGCCATCAAAGCCATCCCGCTTCCCCGAGGCAATATTGCGAATAGATTGATCTGGCATGACTCGGCGGATGGGGTTTTCTCGGTAAAGTCTGCGTACCATCTGGCAGTCAGAATGGATCAAGGTAACCACCGCAAGAGAGCTACGGTTAGTTGGATGGACAGGACCAGTTGGATTCGATTGTGGGAGGCTAACATTCCGCCTAAGCTGAAGGTTTTTGTTTGGCAAATTTTTAACAGGATTCTGCCTACTACAGAGGCTCTTCGGGAGAAGGATGTCGAGATACATCCCAGGTGTCCAGTTTGTTGGGAAGGGACTGAGACGATGGAACATTTATATTGTCCGGTGGCCCGTGCCCTTTGGGATTATGCAGGGCTGGAACATGTAGGTCAAGGGTTGCCCAGGCATACTTTCCCTCTCTTTCTTAAGAACTTACTGGCCGTGATTCCCCAACCAGATCTTTTGTTCGCTGTGGTGGCGGTCCTATGGCGAATTTGGCGGTCTCGTAATTGGGTAGTCTTTGAAGGAAAGCAGTTTGGGTTCCCAGCTTTGATGAGACAGTACAACCAGCAGCTGGATGAATGGGTACGTCTCCCAGCTGACCCGATCATGGCTCTGGAAATTCCTGTGTCGGCATTCTTGAGTCCAGTTCATCCTAATGCAGTAATATGTATGTGGGACGGGGCGACTCGCCATGGGTCCCACTCGGCGGGTGGGATGGTAATCATGACGTCGGCTAGGGAGATTCTGAGGGTTATGGGGGTTCAGTTTCAGTGTATTGATGACCCTTTGGTGGTGGAAGCTCTTGCCCTCCGAGAGGCGATTTGATGGTGTTTGGAGCAGGGGTTCTCGACGGTGCACTTTGAAGGTGATGCCAAGGTCGTCATTGATAAAATCAATCGGGCAGAGAACGGGGATTCTCGGATGGGGGCTGTGCTTGAAGAAGTAGTTTCATATTTTGCCTTTCATTCGGGGTTTAGTGTGCGATTTGTAGGTCGGAGTCACAATAGGGTAGCCCATATGGTGGCTAGAAAAGCCCTTTCATTGTTGCCGATTACGTGTCGTGTTTTTGATTTTCAGGCCTGGCTGAATTCCAGGATGTAGCTATCTTTCTTATGAATCAATGAATGATTATCTTTTGCCAAAAAAAAAAGACTTAATTACACTCGTTAAAAAGAAGTAGTTCTTTTTTTTTTCGAGTTACTACACGCGTTAACAATTTGTGCATAGCTGATTTCTATTATTGCTTGCATCTATGTTCGTTTCCGGAGAAGGTGTGAGATATGGAAAAATACATGGCCGGTGGCAAAGGGTGAAATCTGGGCTCGAATTGCAAAATTGCGATACACAAGAAAGCGGGGGGTACTTTCAGGTTTTGGTCAGGACAAGACTCGATTTTAATTTTTTATACATCGTACAAACAACTACTTTTTAACATTTCTCGGCACAAGACAATACTTGGTTTTTAACTTCGGTCTATCTATATCTATCTATTTATTTATAACTTATATTATGATTGTTATACAACAATCTCTTGTCACGTAGGATTCATGAAATTTTACAATTCTCCATGTTATCTTTATCATTTTAGTTTTCTTTTATTTTTATGTTCCACTTACCTAAAAATAATGAAGAGATATATAATCATCACTGAGACTCGAACTTACAACCTGTCGTGCCCAAATTAATATCATTTATAGTGTTCAACTAATAGGATAAATGCAATTTGATGATATCAACCACAACAAGATTACTACTCATGTCATGAAACAGTTTAACACCTGCCCTTTGAATGTGATCTCTTGCTTTACCGGTTGACCTTATACTCAATTATAAAAAAACATATGTCATAATTTTGACATATACTAAAGCAACAAAAATGCCTAAGATATTTTATATTCACCATAGAAAATCATTAATAAATAAAAATAACTTATTTTAGATTATTTTCATAGTATGTTCAATAAAAAATTTGAACAAAATCATAAATGAAAAGCCAAAATTTAATTACTAACTAAATCC